ACACTATCATTTAGGTGAAGAGCTTACTGTTATGAAAGAGAGAGTTACTATTAAGGGAGACAGTAACAAATTAAGCAAGAAAGGAACTAAATGGGAACAAGTATATAAGAAGCCTCTTGCCCCAAACTTTCTGTGCCCTAAACATTAGAAATAAAATAAATTATCCTTTGATAGAAATGCTTCCTGATATATATATAATATCTACATATCTGTTGAGTCAAAGAATAAATAAGATTTGATTACAATTATTTAGTGAAACCTTAAGATATTATTTTACAAATATAATTCATATCCTCCATTGTTAATATTTATCAACAATCCATAAGTCACTAGAATATTAGTATAATTATTTTTCAGATACATTATTTATTTGCATTTTTCTATGGGATGCTGCTGATAAGGCTAGAGATTTGGGTTAACCATATACAAGAGCTAACATCAGTGTTAGAGCATTATAAGTTATTATAAAGATTCTGACATGTCTGCAAACATACTATTTTATATATGGAATAATTAAATATAACATAAGAATTTAGTACTATAAAATCAAATGAAGTATCAATATGGGGAATTCTCCTTTCAGAGGGTAAGTTCTGCTTAATAATGGGAAATAACTAAATAATGGGAAATACCTCAATGAATGTACTTAGGACTGATCTAAGTTGATGTTCCTAAGATTAGGAAGTGGAATGGAGTATTTACAGAGAAAGAAAATTCATGCACAAAAACAATTTACTTAGATAGGACCATCCTTTTTCTTAAAATAACTTTATGGTTGCAATGTTTGATTGTAGGAGCTGGACCAAATTTGCATAAGGTCTTGACTGTGATTTTTGGTAAAATATTTCCCTCTTTGAAATCTTAGGACTTCATAAGATACATTTATTTTCTAAAATTAAGAATTTACTCTACTTGGAAATTTTCAGGTGGAAATTGACAATGGTAGAAGGGAATTACTACTTCTTTCCTCAGCACCTGATGTACTGAGGTACATCAGTACATGTACTAAGGGTAGCTTTCTTCTCTTTTAAATGTCAGGGTCTCTGTGACCTTCTGCACAGGTTTATTATAGGAACCATCGCTTCTCTTCACCAAATGGACTTTCCCCATTAGTAGGTACTTCAGCTCTAAAAAAATCCATTATTTGTTTTTAGTTTAGTGCTAGTTCATAATTCAATAAAGAATGCTTTGTCAGCAAGGATTGGATGGCCAAATCTCACTCATATACTTGTCAACATATTCTTCTATTAAATGTATTGCTGCTGCTGCTGCTAAGTCACCTCAGTCGTGTCTGACTCTGTGCGACCCGTAGACGGCAGCCCACCAGGCTCCTCCGTCCCTGGGATTCTCCAGGCAAGAACACTGGAGTGGGTTGCCATTTCCTTCTCCAACGCATGCATCATGCTAAGCCGCTTCAGTCGTGTCTGACTCTGTGTGACCCCATGCACAGCAGGCCTTCAGGTTCCTCCGTCCACAGGATTCTCTAGGCAAGAATACTGGAGTGGGTTGCCATTTTCTTCTCCAATTACATGTATTAATCATTTACTAATAAATTAAAGTCTTTAAATTGAGATCAAAATTAGCAAAATTTCAGAGTCCCTTCTGTTTCACTTCATGAGAACCATCAATTAGGGATATTTATGTGACAGGTTTTTCTATGTCAAGATTCTTTGGGAAAAAAAAATCACATAAAAATCCTTAAACAGATGGACAACATTTTGGAAAGGAGAAGAAATTTCTGAGAGATAGTAGTTGAATATAGGGGCAAGATACTGAAAATCTGAAAATATTCTAACATAAATTTAAAATACGAGTGAGAGAATAAAAAGAGTATATGGAGTTGATGACAAGAACTAATTATACACTGAATATAAGAAGGCAAAGGCCAAAACTAACAGAGCACTTTCTCTATTAGTTCTGATCAGATCCAGAGCCTAGCATGATGTCTGTCACAAGGTGCTCAATAAACAACTGTGAGTGAGTTAAGGAGATCATGTCACCAGCCTCATCAAAATTATCAAATATTCCACACTGCTTAAAAAAATGAGCTTCACATTCCCCAGTAAAGCATTTAAGACTCTCCAATCCCCCAACAGATTAAAAAATATGATCTTGGAATTAGAATGAATTTCTAATTCTTAAAAAAACTATATTTGGAATGAGTAGTCTTTCTAAGAATGTCCAGAAATCATACAAGAAGAAATTGACAAATTTGGCCACATACATACCTAAATGCTAGGGATGGAAGAATTTCATAAGGTAAAAAAACAATGGCCTGTACTTACGGCTGATTTACCTCGTTGTATGGCAGAAACTAACACAACATTGTAAAGAAATTGTCCTCCAGTTAATAAAAAAAATACCTTAAATAATGGCCTGGAAAGACATTCACAACACATATTAACTATATGTCTAAATCCTTAAAATACAAATAGCTCCTGAGAAAGCAGACACTTTCACTTATTGTTATTGTTATATGACTATAAATTTGTGAAGTGTCTTTGAAGTGAGGATCAGAAATAAAAACTTTATTTTTAAATTCACCTTCTCTCTAATTCAGCATTCCCACCTGTAGGAATTTACTCTGTAGATCATCTCTCACTTCAGCACAAAGCTGTTCACTGCCACACTCTGTGATAGAAACTGATTGGAATGCAAACTGGTACAGCTGCTATAGAGAACAGTGTGGAGATTCCTTAAAAGTCTGGAAATACAACTGCCATATGACCCAGCAATCCCAGTGCTGGGCACACACACTGAGGAAACCAGAACTGAAAGAGACACGTGCACCCCAGTGATCACTGCACACTGTTCACAACAGCCAGCACATGGAAGCAACCTAGATGCCCACTGACAGACAAGTGGATAAGGAGGTTGTGTACACATACACAATGAAATGTTATTTAGCTATAAAAAAGAACACACTTGAGTCAGTTCTAACGAGACGGATGAAACTGGAGCTATTATATAGTGAAGTTAAGTCAGAAAGAGAAACACCAATACAGTATATTAATGCATATATATGGAATTTAGAAGGATGGTACCAATGACCCTATATGCAAGTCAGCAAAAGAGACACAGATGTAAAGAACAGACTTTTGGACTCTGTGGGAGAAGGCGAGGGTGAGATGATATGAGAGAAGAGCATTGAAACATGTGTATTACCATATGTAAAACAGATGACCTGCGCAAGTTCTATGCATGAAGCGGGGCACCCAAAGCCGGTAGGTGCTCTGGGCCGCCCCAGAGGGATGGGGCGGGGAGGGAGGCGGGAGAGGGTTCAGGATGGGGGACACACGTGCACCCGTGACTGATTCATGTCGATGTATGGCAAAAACCACTACAATATTGTAAAGTAATTAAAATAAATTAATTTTTTAAAAAAGAAAAAAACCACTTACTGGAGATAACTTAAATGCCCACCAACAGGAAATGGTTAAATCCCTTAGAGTACAGCTATACCATGGGACATCGTGAGTCCTTTTTAAAATGAGACCTGTCTAGATATGCATTAGTATGGAGGAAGTTAATTCAGGACGCAGAACGGTGTGTATAAAAACTTACTATTTTGTAAACAACAAAATGGACACACATATACATGTACTTATATGCCAGGCATACATGAAAATTTTTGGCAGGATAAACCAGAAACTTGTAACTATAATTGCCTTTGAGAAAACTGTGAGACTGAGTATAGGGCTAGAAGGAAGATTTATTTTCACTGTAAACACTACGGCATTGTTTGAATTTATTTTGCCATGTACTTGCCATGTGATGAGGTGGGGGGAGTTTCTCTAAGCTAGTTTTCACTTAATTTTCCAGCTTGATCTCCTCCTGTATCCTACCTTGCACATAACAATTCAATGCTTCTCAAGCTTTCTCAAATGTTCTTGTTGAGCGTATGCGAATGAGTGTGTGTCTAATACTCCATTATCCATGACTCTCATACTTTCTGCCTGTAAATATCCTACCCCTCCAAAGTTCTTCTGTGCAACCCTCTTGATTTTCAGTACTGAACAAAATACCTTTTCTCTGAATTCAGAAACCCCCTGTCCATCCTGCTGTGAATTATAGTTGTTTACAAGTTGGTCACCCTCATTAAATTAGCTCCGAAAGGGAAATATGCATCTTGTTGACTTCTGTGCTCCTGAAAGTATCTGGAACACAACAGCCTTGCTGAATGCAAGTCATTAACTAAAAAATATTAAGCAGAAGAGTCAACTAGGAAAATCCAAGTTTCCTATGATGACCCAAATTTAAGGACAATAAAGAATCCATCTAGCCCAATTATAGGAATGCTACGTAGCATGAATAACTAAAAGAGCCAGTAAGAGCTCCTTAAAGCTGTAAATAAAGCCAATACTCCATGTCAAATAGGATTATTACCTGAGATGTAAACAAAATTAAATATGAAGCTACACTTGAAATGTATTAGAGGTAAGAGAAGAATGGGAGAAAAATTATTTCTGTTATAGAAAAGATAGCTCTTGACATTTTTTTGTGTGTCAAACACACCAAGCCTGATCATAAAATAGGCAAACAGTGATTTGTATCATGAAACAGGCTACTTCTCTGATTGTGACTAGCTATGCCTTCCCCAATTTTTGCCCTCTCCCTAACTCCCACAAATGAAAAGTCCACAACAATGGAATTCAATCTGTTGCTTATTAACCACAGTCTTTTCTAAGAAAAAATGTCCCAATTCACATCATTTATTATAATTTTTTTTACTGTATACTTTTTGCTGCAATTTAAATCCATTTCCTCTTGTCCTTGGTGCTATGGGAATGGAGGGTCCCACTATTCAATATATTTAACTTCATCAGTAAAACCAATTTCTAATGCTTCTAGAATATTGCTATTCTGCTTTAGTCTCTATAAACGGGTACACTGACATCAGGCCCATCCCATTCCTGTTGGCCTTACAACAACATACAATAAAACAAATACAATAAAATAGAAATTAAAAGCGGCGTGATGAAAAGTCTCCTTGAACTCACTGCTAATGCTGTCTCATACTCTCCAGCAGCCAAGTGCGCTAAGCCCAAGTAATAGGAAGCCTCTCCTTCCATCTTTCTGTCATTTCCTAAAACAAAAATGTAGAAAACATATTACGGTATTGAAGACGGGCTTATTACCACAAACAGAGTCTCTGCTTTTCAAGACAGTGGAAAGTTATTATAACAAAGTATACAGATTTATATCAACAACCCCTGAAGTACACAGCCTAGCTGTGTACTGATCAAAAAGGCTGACATTAATACAATTTACCTGGGTCACAGATATTAGAATAAGGTGTATAGCAATATAATTATGATGAGTTTCCTCTGTGTACAAAATCCAGTCTTAGCATTTTGACATCGTATATAATTTCTATACCAGTCACCCACGTAAGGGCTTCCCAGGTAGGGTTAGTGGTAAAGAGCCTGCCTACCAATGCAGGAGACATAACAGGCACGGGTTTGATCCATGGGTTGGGAAGATCCCCTGGAGGAGGGCATGCAACCCACTCCAGTATTTTTGCTTGGAGAATCCCATTGACAGAGGAGTCTGGCAGTCCACAGGGTCACCAAGAGTCAGACATGATGAAAGCAACTTAGTATGCATGTACCACCATGTAAAACCTACAATCATTCACCATAGCTGTGACTACATACATGAAATAATTGATAAAGAGTATCAGCCTTACTTGGTGCACAAATACACATACACACACAGACTGGCATTCAGCTAAGTCTCCAATAGGGCAGATAATTAGCAAATTAAGGAACTATGGCCTTGACTAGGTTTAGTTGTAAAGTTATTGCTTAAAACTTGGGTGAGAATGCCAGAGCTTGGTTTCTTGGTATAAAGTTCCATGCATATTTTGAAATCCAAACACATTTTTCCTTGCTAGTGACTGGTAAATACTTTTCACCATCTTTTCACAAGGAATTTAGCCTAATTTTTGTAGGATGTGCTTTATTCCAGGCATTATAAAATTTTTCTTCCCCAAATATGTAAACATGTAACATGTGCTTCCAGAGAAGGCAATGGCTCCCCAGTCCAGTCCTCTTGCCTGGAAACTCCCATGGACGGAGGAGCCTGGTGGGCTGCAGTCCGTGGGGTCGCTAAGAGTCGGACATGACTGAGCGACTTCACTTTCACTTGTTACTTTCATGCATTGGAGAAGGAAATGGCAACCCACTCCAGTGTTCTTGCCTGGAGAATCCCAGGGACGGGGGAGCCTGGTGGGCTGCCGTCTATGGGGTCGCACAGAGTCGGACACGACCGAAGTGACTTAGCAGCAGCAGCAGCAGCAACATGTGCTTCAACAAGACATACGTCGCACTGTCTAATAAATAGATATTTTACTAACATTTAATGCACAGACTTTAACATGTAAATATAATATACTTGCAAGAATTATGGGAGGTTCTTATTTTTAAAAATAATACTATTCTCTTTTACTTTTGGAAGGCTTTGCCTTTTAATGTTACCTAACTCCTGGGTAATGCAAATGCTGACAGATGTAGCCTCATTTTTTATCTTTGGAAAGTAAAGATTCTTAGATTTCTGCACTCTGCATTCCCACCATGATGGATTTCCACAGGAGCTAGCAATTCTCCACACTGCACACACACTCGGCACTCACTGAATTACCTCCTGTGAAGCAGAGGCTCAACTGGAAGACTGCAGGAAACAGGACAGCAAATGCCAGTGACAGTATATTTTTTCTTCTCTGACAATTTCATCAATTGCAGAGAATTATACCCTCAAGATCTCACTTCAGCAGAGTTGATGATGCTAGTGATTCAGTCTGGGAAATTTGAACTCATAATTCAGCTGGGTCCTCACTCTTTCTCTGCTATAGGCTTATGACTGCTGGTAAGAAAGGTGGGACTAGGGAAGGAAAAGAAGGGGTAGAAGGAAGAGACTATGGTGGGAAGTTGCCTCTTCGACAATTAAAGGTTGATTACTTGAGACTTGTACTTCCTGTGTTAAATGGTGTAAAGCAGTGACAACTGCATGTTTGCATACAGGATCATTATTTGCATTAAACTTTATGTAAAAAGCAACGCAGAGAACTAGGAAAAGAAAACTATCCCTGTAGACAGAAAGATTTTGAAACAGCTAACTGAAATAGATCACACCAAATAATAGTTTTAAAATAGGATTTAAGTATAAGAACTTCCTGTTTACTAATTGAGATGAAGTTAAGATAAACTGAAAGTAATAAAGTAACAAAGGAAAACATAGTACTGTTGAGTGACACACTCAACAGTGACATACAAAAGAAAAAAAGTGTGTCAAATACTATTTATATTGTGTTATTTGCCTGAGTGGGTTAAATTTATATTAGCCATACTACTCAAGTCAATAATCATTTCTCTTAAAGAAATTAGTATGTTTTTATTTTCAAAACTAAACTGTTCATTCTTACCCTAGTATGTTTACTAGAGAATCCAAAGAGGAAGTCATCCCAGGTGGAATAATGGACAGAGAAAACGTTCTTGGGAGCAACTCAAATGTTTTATTAAAATGTGCCCTAAACCTTCCTTTTGTTATTTGGCTAACCATATTCACTCATTCATTTATCCAGTGCTTACTTATTAGGGCCATCCTATACAAGGCAGAAGGGGGCAACAGAGAATGGGCTGGTTGGATGGCATCACGGACTCAGTGGACATGAGTCTGAGCAAACTCCAGGAGTTAGTGAAGGATGGGAAGCCTGGCGTGCTGCAGTCCATGGGGTCGCAAAGAGTCAGACACGACTGAGTGACTGAACAACAAATAGCAGGCACAGTTCTCAGCACTTGGAATCCACCAGCACATTAACCAGACAAACTCCCTGTCCTTGGGGAGTTTATATTTGAGAGAAATAAAAGAAAAAGACAGAAAATTGAAAATAAACATAATAAATTATATGGTAAGTTTCAGTGTGATAAGTATTTTCGGGGAAAAAATTAAGCAGGTTAAGGGGATTTGAGAATGCTAAGTAGGGATACAAAGAAAAAATCAGGTTTCAATATTAAATACAGCTGTCAGGATAGTAGATATCATTGAGGAGATGGTATCCACAAGAAAATGAAATTAAAGATAACAAACATTTGAGAAACTCACAACTATGTGGAAATTAAACACACTTCTAAATAATCATTGGATCAAACAAGAAATGAGAAGGTAAACTAGAAAATACTTTGAGATGAATGGAAATGAAAATACAAAACCCCAAAACTTGTGGGATTCAGCTAAAGCACAGCCTAGAGGGACAGGTACAGCTATAAATGCCTGTTTTTAAAAAAAGGAAATATCTTTTCACTTTATAAAAGCAGAAAAAGAAGAACTAATTAAACTTAAAGCAAACAGAAGGAAATAATAAAGACTAGAAAGGAAATAAGCGAAATAGAGAATAGGGAAAAAAGAGGTTATGAACAAAACCAAAAGTTGGTTCACTGAAAAAGTCTACAAAATTGACAGATCTTTAGCTAGACTGAACAAGGAAAAAAAGAAAATCCTCAAATTATGAAAATCAGGAATGAATGAGAAAAATCACCACAGTTCTTACAGAGATAAAAAAATATTATAAAGGAATATTATGGACAATGGTATACCAACAAATTAGATACAGTTGATAAAATGGAAAAATAGAAAGATACAAAATACTGAAACTGACTCAAGAAGAGATGGAAAATATGAATAGATACACAATAAGTAAAGAACTTAAATTAAGAAATCAAGTACTTTCCACAAAAGAAGCTCAGATAACTTCGATGAAGTCTACTGAATATTAAAAATGCAATCATCACCAATTCTTCACAGAGTCCTCCAAAAACTAAGAGAAAACACTTCCCAAATCATTCTATGAAGCCAGTATTATTCTGACATCAAAATACACAAGAAAAGAAAACTACAAGCCAATATCTATCATAAATACAGACAATTCCCAACAATTACTAACAAAGCCAATCCAGGAGTATATAAAAAGGATTAAACACCAGGATCAAGCTGGATTTATCCCAGGAATTTAGGGTTGATTCAACATGTGCAAATCAATCCATGTAATATGCTATTTTTAATAGAAAGGAAAAACCACATTTTCATCTTAATAGATGCAGAAAAAGATATTTCACAAAATCCAACCCTTTTTTATGATTAAAAAAACCCTCAACAAATTCAGAATAGAGGGGAACTTCCTCAACTTGTTAAAAAAAAGTATCTACAAACCCCCCCGCAGCTAACATTAAACTTAATGGTGAAAGTCAGCTTTTTCCCTAAGATCAGGAAGAAGACAAAGATGGCTTCTGACACCAGCCCTCACATTTATGGTCAGTGAAACTTATCAACAGTCCCAAGACAAGACTGAGAAAGAAGTGCATTTTCAACAACTAGTACTGGAGCAACTGGACACCCACATGCAAAACATGAAGTTGGACCCTCTTGACACACACACACCCCTAAATATAGGCCTTAAAGCTATAAAACTCTTAGAATAAAATATAGAAATCTTCATGACTTTGGATTAGTGGAAACCTTCAGAGTTGTGATATCAAAAGCACAAACAACAGAAGAAGGAATACATTACTTTGGGCTTTATCAAATTGAAAACTTGGGCCTCAGTGGACACCATCAGAAAGGGAAAACAAAACCCAGTGTTTTCAAATCACAAATCTGATTAAGGACTTGCTCTAGAATATTAGAAGATTCTTATAACTCAATAATAAAAAAAAAATAACCCAATTAAAAATGGGCAAAGAAACTGAATACACATGTCTGCAAAGAAGACACACAAATGGATGGTAAGCACACAAAGAGATGTTCAACATCATTAACCAATAGGGATATGCAAAAAAATTCAGTGAGATATCACTTTATACCTACTAAAGATGACTATAGTAAAAAGACAGAGCAACAAGTGCTGGTGAGGAGGTGGCTAAAGTGAAACCCTTTATACATTGTTGGTGGGAATGTAAAACAGTTCAGTGACTTAAGAAAACTCGTTGCCAGTTCCTCAATAAATCTATCCTGAATATTCATTGGAAGGACCGATGCTGAAGCCGAAGCTCCAATACTTTGGCCAACTGATTCAAAGAGCTGACTCATTAGAAAAGGCCCTGATCTTGGGAAAGATTGAAGGCAGGAGAGAAAGGGATAACAGAGGATGAGATGGTTGGATGGCATCACTGACTCAATGGACATGAGTTTGAGCAAGCTCTGGGAGATGGTGAAGGACAGGGAAGCCTGGCGTGCTGCAGTCCATGGGGTCGTAAAAGTCAGACACAACTGAGCGACTGGAGAAGAACAAGAACAATAAGTTAAACATAGAGTTATATGACCCAGCAATTCCACAACCAGGTATACACCCAGAGGAACTGAAAACGTGTACACAAATGCTCAGAGTAGCATTATTCATCACAGACAAAAGGTGGGAATAACAGAAATGTCCATCAACTGATGAATGGATAAAGAAAATGTGATAATAATCATACAATAGTGTATTATTTGGCCATAAATATGAATGAAGTAGTGATACATGCTACAAGATGCATAAACTTTGAAAACATGATGCTAAGTGAAAGAAACTAGACACAAAAGAACATGCATAGTATAATTCCATCTGTGTGAACTATCCAGAAGAGGTAAATGCACAGAGACAGAAAGATGATGAATGGTTACCAGGGGACAGAGGAAGAAAGGTGTGGGGCATGACTTCTAGTGAGTATGGGGTTGGTGTTGATGTTTGTACAACTTTGTGAATTTACTAAAGACCAATGATGATTGAAATATGAAGATAATAGAATACTAGAGTCATGAGACCACTGTATGGCTGATGCTATACTTGTGCATTACACAAAGGTGCCCTAACAAAGGAGCTGGCGCACTATGGATATCAGTCCTCTTCAAATACAATGTATTCCAATGTGGGAGGCAAGCCACGCAATCATCAGCTTGCTGCTTCAGGCTCCCTGACCAAAGCAGAAGGCAACAAGAAGGGGTGATTTGTTTCAGAGAATTTCAGCTGCTGTCAGAGCTCTGTGAAATACTGTGCCATCTTTTAACCTGTGCTCTTTCTTATATGAAAAATATGGGCACAAATATTTGTTGGTTTCAAAAGATACTCAAAATTATTACAGCATAAGAAGTTGGTTTTCTCCTATTCTCTTCATCTGTCCTTTGAGAGACGCTTTCAGAAAGGAAACTGCTTGCAGGCTCTGATTGTTGGAAGAGACCCTAAGAACTTTGCTTTCTTTGTGAATTACCTTACAAATCAGCAAATGTGAACCTAAAGTGAAATACCTTTTCCTAACTGATAACATTAACTTACATTAAAATTCCACATAACTTTTCACATGACTAAAGTTAGCTGCTGAAATTGATCTAAGAGCTAACTATTTATGTCAGTGTTTACCCCTTTGGGGAAGGTACTCGATCACCATTCATTCAAAAGCAGTTCATTCAGTGGGATACATATTTCAATGTTATATTTATTTCAACTAATAATATTTTTAAAAAGTAACAGAGAGAATAAGCTAAGATTTTACTTTCACTCTTTAAAAAATTAAAATCAAACCCAGATTATCAGTCCTGTTTACTCCAAATTATAAGCCATTTGTTACTCAGTAAACCAACTGATTAAATATAAACACAAGCTAATGAACTTCGGTTCAAGGGCATAACTTCCATCTTTTCCTCCTTCATGAAAGGGCTACTCTATTAATAAATTACTCTGAGGTAATTTATTTTACTTTGCATCTCACAAAGTAAAAGCTTATGAGTGTATGTTCCAAATTTTTCTTTATATTTTACACATATGCAAATAATACAGAATACCAAGCATGTGATCAGCTCTCACAAAAGCATTTTCACTACTGTGAGTGTGCATATGAATCACCCGGGGATCTTGCAAACCTGCAGATCCTGATGCAGTCAGTCTGGAGTGGGGTCGGAGATGCTGCGTATCTTACAAGCTTCAAGATGATGCTGATGCTGTCAGTCCAAAGGCCACACAATTTGACAGGCAAGGGTCTAAAATATATTAAACCTCATCTTCCTGTTATTCCTAACTTAATATCCATCATATATTTCCTATTACCTGACAAAAGGGAATTTACAAACAGTGAAAGGTCTCTCAGATTTTAAGAAATATATGACTTAAAGTGTGCACGTGTGTGTGTGCACACACATGCGCACATGCACACACAAACACACACATACACATACACACACACCCTTAACTTTTGCAAATGACCTTACCTTCTCATTATGGGTTTATTGGTTTATCACATTACTCCCAGAGGGTTGCAATTTTGGAGATAAAGCTTTCAAGAAACTAATGGATTTCTTGTTGTCAGCACTAAGCCCCCTCTGTTTTACAGTGAAATTTGAAAGTATATTGATGGCATTTGTCTCTGCATTTCATAGGAAATAATCACCCAAACACTTGACGGTTTTTACCTCCCTCTTGGGAGAAGCAGCGTCTGCCCATTAAAGGCAGCAGTGTGAGAGTGCTCTTTTCCACCCACCTTCTTTGGCTATTTCACAAGCTTTTATTAGAATTCTGATGGCCTGTTTGTACTCTTTATTTTCCAGCATTTTGTCTGAGAGTAATCTGTAGGTCCTCAGGAGACTCTCGCAGGCCAACAAGTTGAGAACGCGGCCTGTCTCATCCTTCCATATCCGCCCTTGCGTCAATTGATGGAAGGCTTCATAATGCTCCGCAGCTTCCAGAAGCTGACCTGAGGAATAAAAGCCATTCATAAATACCAACCACAGACCAGAACATAGCTTCAAATATTTTAAATACTTCTTACACTTTACTATTAAAGTGGGGTGAAGGAGGGTAGAACCATGGAATGCATTCAAGCCTTTCTAAGGCTGAAGAGGACTTCAGCTGATTGAAAGGAACTATCTCAATATGGATCTGAGATTCAGCACTGATTTTTTAAAGTTAATTTATTTTAATTGGAGGCTAATTACAGTATTGTGGTGGCTTTTGCCATACATTGACATGAATCAGCCATGGGTGTACACATGTCCCCCATCCTGAACCCCTCTCCCACCTTCCTCCCCATCCCATCCGTCAGGTTGTCCCAGTGCACCAGCTTTGAGTGCCCTGTTTCATGCATCGAACTTGGACTGGTGATCTGTTTCACGTGTGGTAATATACATGTTTCAATACTATTCTCTCAAATCATTCCAACCTCGCCTTCTCTCCCACAGAGTCCAAAAGTCTGTTCTTTACATCTGTGTCTCTTTTGCTGTCTTGCATATAGGGTCATCATTACCATCTTTCTAAATTCCATATATATGCGTTAGTATACTGCATTGGTGCTTTTCTTTCTGACTTACTTCACTCTGTATAATAGGCTCCAGTTTCATCCACCTCATTTACTGATTCAAATGAGTTCTTTTTAATAGCTGAGTAATGTTCCATTGTGTATATGTACCAGAGCTTTCTTATCCATTCATCTGCTGATAGACATCTAGGTTGCTTCCATGTCCTAGCTACTGTGAGTAGTCAGCACTGATTTTGGATGGACACTTGTTAAAGGGATATACTTGGGCTAGTAGAAATTAATGAGAATTGAATATGTTTAGAAATGGTGTGAATGTTAAATACTAATTATTAACAGGAATCCTATTAGCTAACATTTACTTACTCAACATGATGCATGCAAGGGATGGGTGCTGTGTACTATATATGTATCTCTCATTTAATCGTCAGAACAGTCCTGTGGAATATAGACTTGCTGTGATTCCATTTTACAGAAGGAAAGAGTGAGGTTGAGAATTTTGCCGGTGAGCTTCCCTGGCGGCTCAGTGGTAAAGAATTCACTTGCCAGTGCAGGAGACACAAGTTTGGTCCCTGACTGGGGAATACCCCACATGCTATGGAGCAACTGGGTCTGTGGGCCACAACTATCCAGTCTGTGCCCCAGATCCTGGGAATCACAACTGCTGAGCCCGCGTGCCACAACTCCTGAAGGCTGAGCACCCCAGAGCTGCGTGCTCCACAGGAGAACCCACCGCAACGGGAAGCCGAGCACCTCACCTAGAGGGCAGGCCCTGTTTGCCGCAACTAGAGAAAATCCTGTGCGGCAACAAAGATGCAGCACAGCTAAAAATAAATAAATAAATAATTTTAAAAAGCGATTTTGCCCAAGATTGCATGGCCAGTGGCTCAGCAGATCTGGGCAGTCTGATTCCAGAGCCCATGTTCTAAACCCGTCTGCTGTCCTGTTATCTCACTAAAGCAGCAATTCTTCATTCTCAATAACTGAGGTATTTTGAGAGAGGTTGCATTTGCTTCAGATTTCAAATTTAAATATTATGGAGCTTTAAACTACTTCTGAAAGTTTGAACTTTTTCCAAGGAGACTTTGTATACTCTGCTTAATTTTAAATAATAAAAGGTAACAACTACCCTTCTTAATTATATTTTATAATATAGTTGAAAATATATCTTCTCAAAGCCAAAACTCTAACTTAGAGTCATTTGATTCCTTAAAATGTGAGCAAGCACATTTCTGGAAGGGTAGTTTGTAGTTCCCCACTATAGACTGTATTTTAGTTGTGAACTGACTTGTGAAAATACACACAAAATCCTGTAATATAAATACTCTGTGATGGTACTGGAGTTACTTAACTGGAATTAACTGAAAAAGCACTTACATCTAGGCATCCCAATAATAGTATTTAAGAGTAACTGTAGGCTCCACGTAGACAGTCTGAGTTCCTATACCACTTGTACCATTTCTGCTATTTGCATGCATGCGTGCTAAGTCACTTCAGTCATGTTCAACTCTATGCGACCCAATGGATCATAGCTCACCAGGCTCCTCTGTCCATGAGGTTCTCCAAGCAAGACTACTGGAGTGGATGGCCATGCTCTCTTACAGGGTATCTTCCTGACCCAGGATGGAACGTGTATCTCTTACGTCTGCACTGGCAGGTAGGTTCTTTACCACTAGCACCACCTGGGAAACCCTTCTGCTGTTTAGCCTCAGGCTAACTACTACCCTCTCTGTGCCCAAACTTAAGGCTTCTGCAAACAAGATTATAATGTAACTGTTCAAGGTGTTATTGTGAGAAATGAATTAACATATGTTCAATATCTGATACAGAGTAGGTGTTCAATAAACATAGTTACTTTTACCAGTTGGCATAATGATAATATTTTTTTAAAATCCACAGGCCAAATGAAATATAACCACTATTTATTTTCTTTTAAGTACAACATATTCTTCCAACAAAATACGTAGTTGAGTCCTGATGAAAATATAATCATGACTAATTAAAGGACCCTATGTAGGACATATTAGGTTCAATTTCCTTAAATAAGATGCACGACAGAGGTGTTAACTAACCCTACAGTCAGAATCATTTCGCAACATGTAACTATATCAAATCAATACATTGTACACATTAAACATATATAATATTTTATGTCAACTACATCTCAATAAAGCTATAAAATACACAACGGGAAAAAAGATGCATTGCACATTACATGTTGAACAGTCCCCTGCTATGACTATTTTATATAATTTCTTCCTACTGACTCACTAGAAAAGACCCTGATGCTGGGAAAGATTGAAGATGGAGAAAAAGGTACGACAGAGGATGAGATGGTTGGATGGCATCACTGACTCAGTGGACATGAGTTTGAGTAAGCTCCAGGAGTTGGTGATGGACAGGGAAGCCTGGCGTGCTACAGTCCATGGGGTTGCAAGGAGTTAGACACGACTGAGCAACTGAACTGAAATGATTTTTGCACTGAATTTGTTATAAAAATAAATATTAAAATGCACATATAAAGAAGTAGTATTTTCAAAGAAACATAACAGAGATATATAATGAGGAAATGATCTGTACAAAAATTCAGTAAAGACGTGACCAGCCTGAGCCCCTTGCAGAAGGAGGGTGTATCAGCAAAGAAACATGGGAGGGGGTGGCTTGTGATGCTGAGCTGTTTATAAACTTGTATTATGAAATTTTCACATGATAAAAGACTACAAAGCCATAAATATGATATTACAGAAGAATATTTGATTACATGGACAGGTGCTTATGATAAGTGAAAATACTGAAAATCACCAAAATCATTTACAAAGCAGTATCAGTGTTATCTGGGTGATGAATGGTTTGTTTTCTGTTTTTCTTTCTGATTACTGGCATTTGCTACTGTTTCTAGCATCAAAATATGTAAGTGTGTTAAAAGAAATATGTAATAGGAGCTATTTTAAAATAATGCCGAGTTCTTTTTCATTTTGATACGAATACTCACGGTTGACGTTTCCTGTTCTGTCTTTACATCTAACTGACAAATTTTCTCTCACCTCCCACAAAAGCAGGCACAGTTTTTCACCTCTCTCCTGCAGCACTACTCAGTAGAAACACCTTTCTCCAAATACCCATGACTCTCATTTCTTTTTTAAAACTCGAATGGAGCATTGACATATGTGTGTGTTATGTTTCCTCTGTTAACTATATTTCTGTCTGCAAAGTATAGCTCTGTATCCCTGGAAAGATTGTATATGAGAGTTCGTTTTTTACATCCAGCATCCATTTATTCATAAAGTATGGATACATATTTCTCTTTGGTCATGTAAATAGGGATGGATGGACACAGGGAACTGTAAGAAAACCGGAGAGTTCCAAAAAAAAATTGGGGACTATAAGCAGACTAAGAAGGGCCTGACAGCATCTGTGGTCACACACAGTAACCATATGGAAAGAGGGTCCAAAGGTGTGTTATACAATAACAGATTCACTAAGAATTCCAGAAGGAGAGCCAGGAGAGGACGCTATGGGTAACCCAACTAATTATAATGAGATGCAAATGATGCATAATGATGTAGACAGTATATGAGAAGTGATTACTGGGTCCAAGATTTGATCCACATCAAGCAGAAAGGGGAAGTAAGGGGAAGGGAGGGGCAAAGTGGGGAAAGGAGATATCGAGGAGGAGGAGGGGGGATGAAGATGGGGAAGACAGGGAGAAAGGTGGGGACTGTGTCTCGGTATTCCAAACAAGCCAGATTTCTCTTCCGGTTACTGATGTCATCAGATTTCCTGCACAGGCTGTCTGTGCAGAAATGAAATAAGAGAGGTTCTTGGGACATTGGTTTCAGTTGATTAGTATGGAAGGGGGCCTTGGAATGATTGAGAAATAGACTTTTCAGTTGAGTTTGATTTTTGACTAAGCAGTGGGGACTAGTATCAGTGTACTGCCTAGCTGATAATTACCAGCCAAAGTTAAGCTCTTATGTACTTGAGTTCTGCTATTAGAAAGGAGCATAGGCCAAGATACTCAGTAAAAGGTACAGAGAACTACTGTTTCTCAAAGAGCGGTGGCTGCTAGTCAAAAAAGGCTTTTTCCCCCTCATACATTATCTTATTTAACCTTTCAAAACAGGTGCGATAAATATGATTTTTATTTTTACACCAAAGAGGACACTAAGGCTCACAAACATTAAATGACTCAAATTGCTAAAAGATGATGTTTAAGGTTTAAACCCAGGATCACCAAGCCACCCAAAAAGCTTGGTCCTACCATATCAGAGCAAGTCAGAAAACTTAGATGGAGTAGTAAGTCAGATTGTCTGGACATAAAGCTCTCAAGTTAAAACAAAGCTGGAGTTACATGATTTCTAGCATCTTCCAGGTCTATAACTCTGTGCCCCTATTCAGGTAGGCACAAGAACTTCCAACATGAATGAACAGATACTACAGTG